TTTAGATCTTAAATTCTGCAATAAAGTACGAATATTTTCAGTATTATCATAAATTCTTCCTGTGAAATGCTCTAATATAGTAACAATCACTGTATAAATTTCATTCTCAGTTATCTGAGATCCTTCCTATTTAACGATTTGCCCTTTCTTTATACGTTGTTGGTTTATCAGCTGCAATGGGAGAGCCCAATGTGCTTGCTATTCTACTCAAGGTACTAAGGTTCTAGAACTTTAAATCAAGACCAGGCAATTGCAGCCATACAGGCACATGCGTAATGTCACTATAGTTCATACCTTTTCCCACAGCCGAGGGTTTAACTACTACTGGGTTAACACCCATATGATAAACTGGGGTTTTTAACACTTCTTCTCTAGCCTCATTGATGAAAAATGAATAAGATACAGACCAGTGCGAAGAAAAAGTACCTTTCAACTCCAAGATTCTTCCATATTTGCCGGTAAAATCTCTCCATTACTTTGATAAGCGGATTGGCTCCTAGTACAAAGCTAATTACCGATGGGCGCCAGTATTCAGCTTCAGGGTCAACCGCTTCCTTTTGAACCATCACGATTTTCTTCCCTTCAACTAAATGTGGTTAACAAACCCTAAGGAAGCCCCAACTTTCTTCATTTTCTTCGCATCAAACTCCTTCTAGATAGTGGTTGTTCTTTGTTCCCTTTCACCATTGCCTTCCGGGCAATTCAATTTTTTGGCTGGATGAATCCCTAGTAATTCCTTTAAGGTGCTGGTCTCTTGGTTCAAACTTACCCCTTTTCGAGATCTAGACGTTTCACCCTCCTCCCTTCGAGTCAACCCCTGTTCCAGATCTACTTCCTTGCTCTCGATTGACACCAAATTCTCGGGTGAATCTTCCCCTTTTGCCATTGCAGCCCCTTCTCCAGCCACTTTCTGCACTCTCTTACCTATGGTCTTCCCTTTTGTCATGGCAGCGCACGTTAAGTTATCATGCGCTGAGAGAGAGAACGACGAATAGTTTTTTTTTTTATTTAGCACTAAGATTATGAAGTATAGAATTCTTACAGCATATTTAGCTAAATCAATGAAAATTTTGATAGTTGAGAACATTTATAAAGAAAACAAATAAATAAATAACTTAAGCTTTATAGAAAAGCAGATGATGACAAATGTCTAGGATTCGGTTCATCACAATGATGAATACTGATTATTGAAATCACCATCTCTCTATTATAATTCTAACTTATAAAGGTGAATTATCATATTATAAATATTATCTCCTCTCAAGCATAATCATGTGCTGATATTAACAAACCTGCTATTATCATGACGATTTCAATAATCTAAACATGTTCAAGATTTTTGATAATTCCACAAGCCCTCATATATAGGACTAAAATATACTCTTGTGATTTTAGATCATAGGTTCAATTTTACGGTTTTAGTATTAAAATTTTACCTCTCAGTCCTTCACTCAATAACCATAATCATGTAATTAAACGGCCTGCAAATTCACAAGCATGAAGCATACTAGAAATTGAATCAAATGTATATGACTTTCATAATAGTGAGGTAGATTACCACTTTAATTCATAATGAAACACTTGGTTACTCATATTCAATAGAGAATCCATCAAAACAATAAAAGCCATTAAGTACATGACAAGGAAGATTAAATAAACATAAAGAAAATCTTAGTCTAAATAGTTTTCACTTAAATCCTTGAATTGAATAGAGTAAAGAGAAATCATTCAAAATCTAACAAGCTTGGTTTTAAAAGTTCTCTAGTAGCTGCGTGAAAGTGAAAAAATGATAGTAATCCAGGTGGCTTAACCTTAAAGCAATATGGGAGAAAAATTAGGGAAAATTCTTTTCCTAACTTAATTAGGACTTCATTAAAATTGATCTCCAAATCAACTCTCGGCCAGGAAAGGGTGAAGCCAGCCGCCAAACTTATTGAAAATAATACCAAAAATTGTAATTTAGTCCTTGTAGTTGTAGATAATGTCCCATGATTTTTGTTGTTATTGTCTAAATCCTTAGAATTGCTTTTCTGCTTCATTTTCAGTCTACAACTTCAAATTCACTCTATTAACTTAAATCTCACAGGGGTCCCCCACGATGTTCCAAACAGTAGTTCTAGTAGCAACAAGCCCAGTAATTCACGTTGTTGACCCCTGAATACTACTAAGCCATTAAGTTCTTAAGCCCTTATGATTGCCTCGTGCCAAAGAACTAACTCACGTTGTTGTTTGAAACCTTGGGCTATTATTCCCTTGTCACTGGTTAATCTTAGACATTCTAAGTTAAGTGTACCCTTACGGGCTTGCGGGATTCCCCTAACATGCAAGCACAATTAGTTAAGTGGCAAATTTAACTAAGAGGATAATGAAAACTCTAAGAACATGCACATAAATATCATCTGAGAGCTAAATCAAAACATAATTATATAGAGTAGAGGGATTAGACCCTAGAAAGGAGTTTAGCTACGCATGCTGGAAGCTTAAACACAAAAGAAATGAAGTACAAAAGCTTCCACATGATTACAACAGAAAGGGTAGAAAACAAGGAAATAACAAAATTAGGGAGTGTGGTAAAGTGCTGCTGACTTAGCAAAGTCAGCTTCTCACTTCCCTAAGGGACACCCCTGAGTTTGCTTTCCAAACTTATGCTCTGTTTCTAACCTAACTTGCATTAAGCTAAGTCTAACCAAAGTGAGGAGACCCATACCTTTCTTACCTTCTCCCTTTACCTCTAATCATCTTTAGGAGGGGTTTTGCTTGATTTAATCAGTTTCAAGGCACATTAACCCCTTCCTTTGTCAGCAACATCACTTCATCTCTTTACCTTTCCTTGCTTAGCCTTAAAGTCTTAGTCTAATTCTCCATTTTCAGCTCCAATTCCCGTCGGATTCACCAGAGCCATGCCTTTGCACCTCAGGTCCAATCAGCCATTTTCAATTATGCCTAGAACTTCACCAAATTGTCACATTTTTCCCTCCTTTTGTCAGATTTTGTAATTAAGTCCATAGATCACCAAAAGTCACCACCACCAACAACTACATATCTAGTATATTCCCAACTCGGTTGGGATCTGGGGGGACAAGATGTACGCAACCTGACCCCTGTATTTCAATACATAGAGACTGTTTAAGTAGTACGACCTAAGATGCATTGATAAATTGATTTCCGACAACTTCACCAAATTAAGAAGCGTGGAATTTAAATGAGCCCTTTTGATCTAATCCATTATTAGCACAAACTGAAAGAATTGTCAATAATAACTCTTACATCTTCATGTGCAATGTATAAACCAAAAGTCAGCAAATTAAACTATAAACATAAAATGCCAATCTAATTAACCCTAAACTTAAGTACAAAGAGGTAAAATATATGTGTGTAAAAATAAGCATAAGTTGACAATCATAAAGCACTTCAAACGCAACAAATTTTTAAGTAAAATCATGGAAAATAGGTATATAAATTGTATTATTGGAATTGACTCTGAGCTTGACCTTTGGTCGTGCTGCGCCACACATCTGTTGCACAGGAACACAAAGAAGCAAATTTCATACTCTCAGTCCTTTTCCCATGTGGCGTCGTATCGAGGTCCTCCTTGTCACTAGTATAAACAAACTGAGCCGAGCGCGAGCGAACCCCTATTCGAGCTAAGCTCGAGTCATTTCTAGGGTCGGGCATAGGGAAAATCATACATTTCAATTGCGTAAGAAAAATTAGTGTATCATTATGAAGCCGGAAATAGGGACAAGTCATACTTCTGGACTAAAAATTAAAATGTACGTAAAATGCATGTTAATGTGCTATAAGCTTTGTGTAGTCTTTGATTACACGGAAATTTAGACCATATAGAGTTAGGATTTTAGTCCTTTAAGACGCGAAAGTGTAGTGAGTAAATCTATGATCCTAAAATTATCACAGTCCTTAATCTACTAACTAAATGTACTACGAACCAGATTCTAGTTGTTTAATTCTAACAATTAGAGATAGAAAAGTTAGTTAGAGTGTAAAAGGCAATGGTTTCAAAGTTTGCACAATCTTAATAGTATAGCTAAATTGAATAAACATGACCCTCATCACGTTTTAAGAACGCATTAGTAACCTTGTTTGTTCCTTCCTATTGTTATTGCCGCATTTTCCTTGTGTTGTTTTACTTTTGGTTTTACTTGAATTTTATTCTCAATCTTGCATTGCTTGTTTATTGATTATTCTTATGTATGAGATCATTTCATTTCATAACCCACATAATTAAACACTTAACCCAAAGTTGCGCTTTAGACCATATACTATTATACCAGTACCAACTTGACCTTCTCGTGATCCAACTTGTACATACAGACATTTAAATAGAATCAAGATGTTAAGTGAAGACGAGTTAGGATCACTCTTTTGTTCCAAGTAGGAAGGTCGGTTCAAACCTCCCCCCCTTCCCCCAAAGAAAGAATTATTGTAAATGTATGTTTTTTTCCATTATGTGGTGTAATATTCTCTCAAATGCTTTAATTTAATAAAAACACCTCTTTTTCTAAGATGGAAGAAGTACTTGGAAAGTTCTTATTTGCACTTTTACAGCCGAAAGGTGTGATTGAGATTAATATAATCAACATCTTTGCCCATAACAAAAACATTTCATCAAAGTCATTTTCAGAAATCTTCCTTTTAAATGATTTGTCCGCTTAATCATACTACACTTAAACCATTTTTCCAATTAATTGATCTGAAATGAAAATTGAGATGTTGTTTTCTTGTTGATCTCGGTATCTAAGTCTATGCGTACGAATGACATATTGAATTTGATTTTTTTGGAGGTTTGTGTTGAGTTGACATGCATCATATGGGTCAAACAAAGTGTTGGGTTATAATTTCAAACGTCAAAGTGATATTCATTATAGAACCAAACATTGGGGGAGGCAATGGTCTTGGACATTCAGCAAAGACATTTTTTTTTTATGATGGCAAGAAAAAATATCAAAGGAAAAATGGCAAGAAAGAATGACGAAGAAGATAAAGGGGATAGAGAAAACTGTTTCTTCAAATCGATAAAACTTTGTTTAGCGGAATAAATAGAGGTCTTTTGTACTTGTACAAATTTCCGGTGTTGGCTAATTGTTTAACCTTGTCAAGGGGGTAATTGTAGTATTACCAAAACTTGAGGTTGGATTTGTTGAATGACTAAAACTCCGGGGTAAATGTAGTTCACCCTAAAGCACAAGTAGCTTTTCCCGCGTCCCAATAGGCCGTTGAAACACTTCAACGGCGTTAGCCCTAACGCCGGTGAGGCAGAAAAGTACGAAAATGGAAGAAACGACACAATCCAACAAGGCTTCTCCTTCGGCTGGATCAAGACAACTGAATCTGAAGAAATCCTTCACGCTTGGGATACGATCTCTCTTAACGGCTTGCTCAAAGGAGGTAAATCTTCATTTTCCGATTTTTTTTTTCCGAAAATCCAATCCAAATTTCTTTTGCCTTCACATTTGGAATGGTCGAATTCGGTTACTGATGAGTTTTCATCCTGAAATTCGGATTTGATTTAGGATTTCTGCAAAGCGTTTCCACATTTCACTGTTGCCGAGCAAGAACGCCTCCATCGCCTATTCATTGAGGTACTTCCTTTTCTTATTTGGTTAATAGCTTTGTTTTTGGGGGTCGTTTAGTTGTATCTTTTAGGAATTTAAAGTAGTTGGAACATTCAAAGGCAATCTTTATGATGTGACTAAAGTATTCTCCAATCTTAATGCTGCTAAATTTGATTGACCTAAAAGCTTAAACTTTCCCGTTCCTGACATTGTGTATTTCTGTTTTTAACTTTTTGTCTTTTAGGTGATTACTTCTTTGCATGAAAGTATAGAGGTATGCTATTCCAGGACTCTAAACTATTACTGCGCTTGAGTGGCGTTTTGCACTTGTATGCTACTCTGTGTTCTCAATTTTGCAGGATGCTTTTGAATCACTGTGCCTAGAGACTCAGGTATGGTGTAACTTCCAGTCTGAATCTTTTGGAAGTTTTTGAAATTTGGTTTCGTCTCTTTTATATGTTTGCTTCAAACTGTGGCTTTGAATCACTGTGCCTGGAGACTATTTCAAGGTTTTCTACTGTGTTTTGTATGAGTCGCTTGCAAACTGATTTTGTTGTTGTGTAGACAAACTTCTTTTAAGCTTTCAATGAAATGGTAGTATGTAAATTTCGAGTTTCCATTTGATGCTTTTTTGTGCAGTTTTTCTTCTGCCTGATGTTATAAAGAGTAATATTGTTTGCTCCGCGTACAATGCTTTTGTGTTCAACTTCTGTTCATCATACTTATGTTATGTAATACATGGTTCATGTTGAATTCAAACTGGTTGCAGGTAGGAAGTGTTCTTGATCTTGTAGAACAGCATGTGGAAGAACAAAATTTGGATCCATTATTCGCCGAGAAGTAAGCTTTGCCTTCAGCAAAACACTGTTGCTTGATTGTGTTATATATATTACCATCAGACTTAACGAGCTATAACTTTTAGTTCTGTTTGCTTGTATGTATATGGTGCTGCCCACATTGTAAGAATTCCCATCTGATTGTTGTTGCCTGCACATTATGTTTTTTGACCTTTTAATGAAGATATGTGAATATGATAAGTTTCATAGAAAACCTTTTCCTAGTAAGTAAAACATCTCTATGAAGCTTTGCAATGCTGTAATCTACAATAAAGAGTTTCTACATTATGCAGGAATTGTATCAGGATTAGTAAAATATTCATATTTTGTTGAGAAAAGGCCTTAATCAGTTGGGATCCTTTTGTGAGCTGGATTTTCTTTTATTTCCATCATAGAGGAAAATGGAGGCATTGATAGAGATGTAACAAACCGAATTCAAACTGAGTGGAACAAATGGAGAAGTGCGTCCTCAATACTTTGTGATCATAAAGTACCATTGAGTTTGAAAGGCAAGTACCATTGAGTTTGAAAGGCAAGTTCTATCGAACGGCCATTCGACCGGCGATGCTTTACGGATCCGAGTGTTGGGCTACCAATTATGAAAATGAACAAAAGATGCGGGTAGCGGAAATGAGAACGCTAAGATGGATGTGCGGGCACACTAGGTTAGATAGGATTAGAAATGAATGCATCAGAAATAAAGTAGGGGTAGCCCCGATAGATGAGAAAATGAGAGAAACTCGCTTAAGGTGGTTTGGGCATGTGCATAGAGAGACCGGTGGAGGCCCCGGTTAGGAGGGTAGAAAGTATAGAATTTAGGACTCAAATAAAGAGGGGTAGGGGTAGACCGAAGATAACTTGGAAAGGAACTATAAAAAATGATTTGAAACATTTAAAAATATTGAGAGATGATTTATGTAATGATCGAGCACGATGGCGACATACGATCCATATAGCCGACCCCACCTAGTGGGAAAAAGGCTCCTTGTTGTTGTTGTTGTTGCGGTTGTTTAGATGACTGTTCGTTTCTTTTGTCTGCAAAATGTCAGTTTCAGAATCATATGAATCTCAAGAACTAAAATTTATTTTTGTATATGTCAGAGGTTCTGCAGACTTGAGTTATGGACCTTATTGTTTGATTCAACTTTCTTTTAATGAAAATGACTGTTTCTATCTTGACAGCTAGGATATTGTTTTCTTCTTTTAACGTTTCTTCCCTTCTTGCATCACTACAAAGAAACATATTCAGCTAGTATCTACCTCTTTGATTTCCATGTCATTAACAACTTAGTCTTTGTGGAAGGTTGCCTCATAAGTTGCGTGCTAGAACTAAATACCTCGGGAGTTCTTCTGACATATGGTGAACCCAAATGCATGATTGTTTCTTTATCTGCTCTATGATTCAAATCAAGATGGCTTTTGGATTTCTGTCAATCAAACTTATCATTCCTAGTTGATACGAATATTAGAGTGTAAATGTGTCCAAAACCAATTTACAGAATTCCTAGGCTGAGTGGGGTGACGAATCCACCAGTAAGGGATTTTTCAAAGGCTTAGTGCTAAATAGGCTAAGATTAATAAAATGAAATTATTTTAATTGAATAAGCTTGGCTACGTGATAATTAATGCCAATGTAGAATTCACAGAATGAATTTGCATATCAGGAAACATTGCCCAAAGTTTGTGCACATCTAGGGATTTTGCCTTGAATACAGTAGTTATGACTTATGAGTTCTTACCATCTCAAAGTCGTATGTTATGCCACAGATTAAGTTATCCTTTGTTGCAAGTGCTTTACAATGTGCAATTGAAAGGTTTCAAATGCAGAGATAGAAGTGGGGTAAAGGGTCCATATGTTGATATTTAGAGTTTCTGGTTTTCTTGCGCTTGCTTGTGTTGGATATTTCTTTTGGCAATGTTTTGTTGCTTTCTTTCACTCTCATTTTTGGTTTTGTTTTTGCTTTTTTATTTTCCGGTTCCTTTTTGTTCTTTTTGTGTTCTCACTCGAAGTAAGAGGTGGAGTGGGGATGCTGAATTTCTGCGGCTGGTGAGTTTCGAACTCCAAGCCTCTATGATGGACACATATGATGCTACCATAGTCATTGTCTATGCCTTTCTAGATTTGCAATGCAATTACACTTATATTGATTAAGAATAATTGCAAACTGCAGGAGTAACATTGGAACAATTGCAAAAACTGTATGTGATGCAAAGAAGGATGAGATCCTCCACTTGACAAGCATTTTGCAAAAGGTGAGTAAACACAGTATAGACATTGATGCAACACAACGTGGGTGTATAAAACACAGATCGTAGGTTAAGAAACCTCAAGTAGGCAGCAGGGAAAACTTAGGAAAAATATCAGAAAAGATAGCTTAAAGAAGTAGTATTGCCGGGGAAAATTAAAGGGTAACCAACTAAGAATCACTCCTAGTCACCTTTGGCCTCACACCTCAGGATTTGAAGCTGTATCACACAACTTTTGCAGGAATTTTATTAATCAACGTCTAAAAATCCCTGAAAGGAATACAACCTTATTTATAGGCATAAAAATGACTTAAACCAAAACCTATTAGGAGTCTGATTTGGAATTCCAGAATCTTCTCCCTTATTACCTAATAACACTTAGAAACTAAATAGGAAACAAATACTTAAACTACTTTCCTAAAACCAGAAAATCCTGCAACAATGCAAAAGTACTAAAATACCCTTATACTAAAATACTGAAAATTAAATATGAAAATAACTTAAAATATTTCCAGCAGCTTATTCAAGCTCCCAGGAAGACTCTTTCTCACCAAAATGATTCCATATAAGCGTTTGAACTTTAGAACCCCTCCAGTATAATACTTAGTATTTTTCAACCATTTGTCCCCATCATTTCTCCCCGGCTTGAAAGAACTCGACTCCGACGAGTTAAAAGCTTGATATCTCTCATAGAAATCCGGATCTAGCTGCTGAAATTCAGATTCAGTGATCGAAGTGCAATCTGACCTTGGTCGCCCTTCCCAATGAATTAGAAATTTCTGATGACCCCCAGCTCTAGTAGACACAATTTGATGTTCCAAAACATCATGAATTTTTTCTCGAGCATGTGGAATAGGTGGTCGAGAAACTACGGGTAATGTATCTACAGAAACCTCATCATGACCAGAATAGCGTGTCAAATCCTCAATATTAAAAACATTGCTAATGCCATAGTCATCAGGTAGGTCAAGAACATAGGCATTAGAACTAATCTTCTTGAGAATCTTGTAAGGCCCAGCTTTGTGCGAAAGAAGCTTCTAGTAAGATCTAGGTGGATACCTCTCAGGACGTATTCTCACCAAAACTTCATCTCCCTCTTCAAATTCAGCAAATCTCTTCTTCAAATCAGCATGGGACTTGTATTGTTCATTGCTGATCGCTATTCTGCGCCGAACTTCATCATGAAAATCCAAAAGATGTCTAGAAAAAACCTCAGCTATTGCACTAGGACGTGCACTTGAAGGCAATGCCTCTAGATCTATAGGCTTCCGAGGATTAGCACCAACCACAATCTCAAAAGGACCGTAACCAGTAGACCTATTTACTGAACTGTTGTAAGCAAATTCAGCCATGGGTAACACTTGATCCCAGCTAGATGTATGATCTCCTACCAAACACCTAAGAAGATTTCCAAGGCTGCGATTAACAACCTCTGTTTGTCCATCTCTTTGGGGATGAAAAGCAGAAGAAAACTTAAGATCTGTTCTCAGCATCTTCCATAGAGTTCGCCAAAAATAACTCATGAATTTCACATCCCGGTCTGAGACTATAGTTTTAGGCAACCCATGTAGTCGGACAACTTCTTTGAAGAAAAGTCTAGCTATATGTGTAGCATCCGATGTCTTGGCACATGGAAGAAAATGAGCCATTTTTGAAAATCTGTCCATAACCACAAAAATTGAATCAAAACTCTGTAATGTTTTTGGCAACCCTAGGACAAAATCCATACTCACATCTTGCCAAGGTGCATGTGGTATTGGCAATGGTGTGTATAAACCAGTATTTTGTTTCTGTCCTTTACCCAACTGACATGTTCTACACCTAGCAACAGCTCTGCCCACATCTCTCTTCAAACTTGGCCACTAAAACCTATCCTCCACCAAGGCAATGGTTTTATCTCTGCCAAAATGTCCAGCAACACCCCCTCCATGCAGCTCACGAATCACTTCCTCCCGGAGAGAGGTATTAGGCAAACAGAGACGTGCTCCTTTGAACAAATACCCATCATGTATTGAAAAATCAGGATAACCAGCTTGCTGTCCAGCCTTTATGACTGCATATATAATCTGAAAATCTTTGCAACCAGGGTAGTCTTGCTTCAGGGACTCAAAACCAATCACTTGCACAGCCATAGAAGTAAGAACATGATGCACACGACTAAGAGCATCAGCCACCTTATTCTCAGTCCCAGCCTTATGCGTAATCACCAAATTATGCTGCTGTAAGAAAGAAACCCACTTCCCATGTCGATGACTCAACTTCTTTTGTGAATTAATGTATTTTAAGGCCTCATGATCTGAATATAGCACAAATTCCTTATAAATAAGGTAATGATGCCAATGATGAAGTGACTGAATAACTGCATAGAACTCCTTGTCGTATGTAGAATACTTCTGCTTAGCATCATTCAGTTTTTCGCTGAAATAAGCTACAGGATGCCCTTCTTGGCTGAGAACTCCTCCAATGCCAACATTTGAAGCATCACAAGCTACCTCAATCACTTTAGAAAAATCAGGTAACTTGAGCACGGGTGCCTCGTTCATCTTACTCTTTATCTCTTCAAAAGCTTTTTGAGTAGATTTGTCCCACTGAAAACCATCCTTCTTCAGGCAGTTGGTTGTTGGTGCCAGGATTGATAAACCTCCGATAAAACCGATAAAACGTGGCTAAACCATGAAAACTTCGTACCTCCTTTATAGTCTTAGGAGCTGGCCACTCTACAATTGCCTTCACTTTGTCTGAATCAGCTTCTATACCTCTGCTGGATATGATAAATCCCAAGAAAACCACACGTGAAGTCATGAAACTGCACTTCTCGCGGTTGGCATACAACTTCTCTTGGAGTAAAACACGCATTATTTGCCAAAGACGTTCAAGATGCTCTTCCTTTGTAGTGCTGTAGATTAGTATATCATCGAAATAAACCACAAGGAACTTACCAATAAAAGGCTGAAATACTTGAGTCATAAGCCTCATGAAGGTACTGGGAGCGTAGACTTGTCCCACTGAAAACCATCCTTCTTCAGGCAGTTGGTTATTGGTGCCATGATGGTACTGAAACCTTTGATAAACCTCCGATAAAACGTGGCTAAACCATGAAAACTTCGTACCTCCTTTATAGTCTTAGGAGCTGGCCACTCTACAATTGCCTTCACTTTGTCTGAATCAGCTTCTATACCTCTGCTGGATATGATAAATCCCAAGAAAACCACACGTGAAGTCATGAAACTGCACTTCTCGCGGTTGGCATACAACTTCTCTTGGCGTAAAACACGCATTATTTGCCGAAGATGTTCAAGATGCTCTTCCTTTGTAGTGCTGTAGATTAGTATATCATCGAAATAAACCACAAGGAACTTACCAATAAAAGGCTAAAATACTTGAGTCATAAGCCTCATGAAGGTACTGGGAGCGTTTGATAGCCCAAATGGCATAACCAGCCATTCATAAAGACCATCCTTAGTCTTGAATGCTGTCTTCCATTCATCTCCTGGCCTACTTCTCACTTGATAATACCCTTTCCTGAGATCAATCTTTCGAAAAGACTGTTGCTGCAGCCATTACATCCAACATATCATCAAGTCTTGGAGGAAATCGATACTTGACTGTTTCTCACCAAGATGATTCCATATAGGCTGAAAATATTTCCAGCAGCTTATTCAAGCTCCCAGGAAGACTCTTTCTCACCAAGATGATTCCATATAAGCGTTTGAGCTTTAGAACCCCTCCTAGTATAATACTTAGTATTTTTGAACCATTTCTCCCCATCAGACATATTTGCTTATATTTCTAAGTTGCCATTGTTCAATTATCATTAGTTTAGTTGTTTGGCATTACAGTATAATCTTTGGTCAGGCTTGCATGGGCGTAGTTGCCTCCTAAAATAAGTGGTCTTTTCTCTGTTAGTAGAAATTCATTATTTACCTGGTTCTATTGTAACTCTATCTCAATTTGGAATATGATCAGTAGCTATTACGGGGACAGTTTAAAAGTTGTTGATTGAGTTTGCTGTTTCAAATACTCATGCATCTGAATCTCAAGGAAAATATAGCTTTGCAATCATGATTAATAATGGTTTCGCCAGTTGAATGATGATATTGGCACCAATGGCAGACGTAGTATAAGGCATGCTAAAATGTAGATTTAGAGATAGAGGGGTGATTTGTTGATTATCTTGAGTTGTTGAGGTATTTTATGATTGTATATTTTTGGGACACCATTCAGTGAGGGGATAATCTTCTTATTGCATTATTCATGATCTTGATAGGCAGAAGAGCAAAAGCATCTTATGAGTACTCGTCTTCATCTCCTAAGAGAACAGAGACAAAACTTCTCTGGTGTCGCAGCTGTTGTTGACAAGGTGCTAAATTATTGCATATGATCTCTGCTGTCTCCTTGTTGGTATACAAACAGAGTTTTCTAAAAGCATGAGTGTATACTGTACTCTATTTGTTTTCTAATTTAGTCTTGTGTTCATGAAATTTGCAGTTGCGGATGGATATTGAGAGATATGGAACTGGCAGCACTACTGGTTTATGAGCTGCACCCTGAGGTTTTCATGTTCCTCTGTATTTGTTCAGTGTGCATGTCTTCTTGTTGTCTATTTTATCTTCAGTAGGAGTATGGTAAGCATGCCCATGATGTTTTCGTCTAGAATTATTTGTTGATAAGGTTATCAGATAAGAAATTTACAGTGTGGCTTTTCAGATAAATGAGTTTCTTTTGCTGGTGGTTGAGTAGTTCGATTCTTACATTCTGAAAATGTTCATGTCGGATGTCTTGTTTGGTTATTGTGGAACTGTTGGAATTGTTAGGTAACTTCATAAGGATCAGTTTAAAACAGGTTTTGCTCATCATCAGAAATATGGTGGTTCAATTTTTAAGCATGGTCATTATTCCATAACTTCTTCCACCTACCAACCTACCCAGAAAACTGAACGATTTAAGAGTGCTTCAAAACATGATATCGACCTTTACCTTTTTCTGCTTTCGAACTAAAACCCATACCTCTCACGAGTTTGAATGTTTTTTTCCTGCGTAGATCTTGGGTCATGTATATATCCATGGAAGGTCAGAACTATCAATAGCATTTATTAGGAAAGGAAAGGAGAATGGATTTTTAGGTAGTAGTTTGATGTCAAATGCACAAAAGATCGAAATTGGAGATTGCCACGTAGTTTAATTTAAGCAATTTGTTTGTAAACCCACCGGATTGAAGTACATCTCTAAGCATTAGCCTTGGACCTTTTCGTTGTAAACAGAGAATTTCTTCTTCCCTGAATTGCACCGTATTCAATGATATACACAATGATGATTGTTCTTAATGAAGAAAGCGGTCACTTTTATGGATGATTGACACCATGTTAATGTAAAAAAGACAAATGGACATTTATCTATAGAAAAGTGTAATTTTAGCAGGATTTTTTCCCCCCAAGGAGAGGGAATTTCAAATATAAGATCTTTTTTATTTTTTGAATGTTAACAGAAAGTATTCTTACAAAAAGTGTTGCAAACAAAATCCTTGGCGAAGAAGGAATGAAAGTTGTCTTCATCAAATTAATAAATGGTTGTTAGAAAGAAAAAAAAAACATTAATGGAAATGATAACATTGTTTCGAAAGAAAATTGTGAAGAGTTTTCAACTTAGATTGAAATTTGATTAGTACTCATCAGTCCCCCACTGTCCATCGTAAGGGACACCGGTTAAAATGCCACCGCTTAAAAGTTAAATCTGAACTTCTGTTTAATCATACATCAATTACTAATTATAATCACACTTCTTGGTCCCGAGTCCCGTCGAATTAGTTAGTTTGTTTTATAAACTTACTTTTTAATGGACGGGATAATAATAGTGAATCGCATACACATTAGTTTAATTTGCATAATCAAAATTAAGGGGTTTAGATTTTTCATAACCTAACACACGGCATCTTCCACTAAAAACAAAAAGTAGCTATGTTATGGATTAGCCTTCACAACCCATCCATACTTCTTTGCAAAATAAAAATTGGAAACTCACAGTCAGTTGCCTCCCTAAGCAAAATTTATTCATCCATTTTATATATCGTACTCAAAATTTATACATTTAACTTAAGGTATAAATTTTAGGTTTTAATATTATATTTTTTACTAGTTTTCCTCGTAATTGTAACGCCAGTCGCCTTGGGCACAGTTCGATTTGTTCTCAGTAGCAAGATATTATTTGTGTAATTCTTACCTACTGGTTGAATTAATTAGGCTGTCGAGGGTGTTGCACAATGAAGACATATATCCAAAGCTATGAAGTAATGGATCTCACAATTTAAATTTTGAACTACATTCTGACATTATTATTGTCCATTAGCTTGACTTTGTATTTGAAGTAATTGAAAGTTGCATATTATTTGTTGAGAGAGGATTATCTCTCGAAAGAAATTTATTTTACTCGAATGAGCATTAATTAATGCAAACATAATGTGTTATTATGACTTTTATACATGAAATAATTTGTAAATGTAATTTTGACTAATCGCTACGAACTCTTTCCATCCCTGTAAAATTTATCCATTGAACTAAAACAGTTCAATAAAATAAATTATTTTCTTAGACTGAAGGTGTGTTATATTAGTTGAATTAAAGTTGCAAGGTCGTTTTTCTTCTTTCTTTCTTTGTTCTTTGTTAGGACACGTATTAGAAATAACATGGTAAACAAAGTACCACCAATGTTGTAATTTGATGAAATAAAAAAAAAAAAAAAAAAGAGAAAGAAAAGAAGTCAGTAAAACACTTCTATCTTCGACCAAATTATCTAGAAGAATTGCTGAATATTGAGCACGATATCTCAAGCAGTCAATCTAGTCAGAAATTTTGATAGAGTATAATAATTTAGGATTTTATTCCTCATCGGCAGTCACAGATTCTTCTAATTTTAGCCACATTAATTCTTCATCATTCTATTTTATTAAGACCAAATTAATTGAAAGTAAAAGAATGCTGGATTTGGTCCTATCTAGCGGCTCCACCACCACATTCTTTGAAGGGGGGAGATAGAAAAGAAATAGAAAATGTCAAGATGATATAATAAGGTCCAAAAATGGTGTCAATTTTCAACTCAACGAAATTATTGTAAGTTTATTATGTCTGATTATGAGACCAAATGCAACAACGGCTCCTAACATCTGTCTATGATGCTTTCTTTCCTTAAACCAACCCCCCCCCCTCCATTTTTCTTTTTCAACTTATATTGAGATATCATTTATTCCTATGGATCTACTAATAATCTTCTGTGTATAATAGTACTTTTTCCGGTCCTTATTATAAGCCATTTTAATTTGTTTTAAATTTATCCTAAATTTTACTTAAAATATCTTTTTAATTGAAATAAAATCTTAACAATATTTCCGAGTTATAAGGAGAACACGAAGAATGTGAAAATATATTTTTAAGGTATTTTTTCTAATTAAAATACATCTTAAATTAAATCTAAGACAAAATCAAAGTGACTTATAATAAAAACCGGAGGGAGTATAATAATATTTGTTTAGCACGTTTATATTACTTCGTTAATTAATATTTCTAATGCTAAAATTTTTTTGGCCCTTCTAGTGCATGACAACCAAAAAACCCTGTGATTTTTCTTGACCATTTGTTTTCATGGGCCATCGAAATATATATTCTGAAAAATTGTCTATGAAATCAGTTTCGACACCTGGAAAGTCTGATTGCCTATTTTGAATTGAAACTTCAACTGAATATCTCTTTCTCAAACGAAAACTATGGTTCATTCATGAATCATGATGATTTGAAACTAGCTGGCAATATGCATTCGTGTCTTTGTGATATCAGGCATGACCAAATTGAAATGTACCCTTCATTAACATTACTTTATACTTCTATAATTTAGACGAAAATTATAGAGCCAACAAAAATAAGAAATAATTATCATGCTTGTTAATATATGTACTTTTTTTTATACATAATAACAAGTGAAATCATGACCTTGGATTTTGGAACAAAGGAAGCAATGACTGAAACGGTAAACAATGTGAAAGTGATATTTTGTGCAAATATGTAGTTGTCTCTAATTATACGGTCTTCAATAAAATTTTATATTTTTATTTTCTTTATTGTTCCCTACTTGTAATCCCAAAGAAAAAAAACAAAACAAAACAAAAACACCTGAACGGGTTACTCTATGGTTCAGATATCAATGAGGAGACGTTTTTTTTTTTTTTTAAGCAATAGCATTATCTAATAGTTGTTGAGATCCATCATTCATCTCGTATAAAAAAAAAAAATGGCTGACTAACAAGGAATTTTCCAATATATAATTTTGTGTACGTGTCGTTTGACCTGATTATTCATTCTTTTTTTTTTCCAATTGAAAACCCTAATAATTAACGTCTGAATGGAGTTTGGATCTGATGAACTTCTGCAACCAAAAATGGTTACATCATGATTTTATTTTATTTTTTAATGCCGACCAGAAATAAGAAAATTTACGTCTACTGTAATAATCCACAAATTAGATGAAACAAATGAATTTGTCTCAATAAACTCCTCCAAATGCCCATTGACAAAGTAAGAGCTAACTTTTACTCCATGTTTAAGTGTGAATCTAAGTTCATTAAATGGAAGTAATTCTTTAAAAAATAAAAAATAAAATTGAAGGCTTGAGTTGACCCGAAGATATAATTATGGCCTACAAACGAATGGCGCTTGTCAGCTACTTAAGCTATTGAATTGGGGCAGAGTCAAATGGATAAATATTTGGCAAATTTTGGAACTGTTTTTATGTGATGTGTTAAGATTGAGACGTTTAGATCTGTATTTGTCCAAAGTATCTACTATCTACTTCGACGTTGACCAAGCCAGCTTCTGTACACTAGAAACGTGGTTATAGTACAAACCCTCTTCCGTGGAGGAATTCACTTGTTATGAGATGAATTGAAATTTGATTGAACTACACAATTTTTCAATTTCAACGTGTAATCGTTTATATAATAAATATTTTCTCTGATTCTAATTATAAAATACAAATTTTTTATTAAATTTAGCGTTAATTTGTACCTTATACTTAATTGGAATAACGGCATTTCTTATACCTCACTAAAATCACTAAATTGAAACGGAGATATACTATCATATCTAATTAAAGATAGAACGTGTTGTTACTCTTCCATTTCTCTTTGATGGGCTAAAGTAATACATAATTTCCTATATTTGCCCCTTTTGAAAGATTTGATCATTATTCATTCTGATGGCCATCAGTTTTTATTTATCAATTGACTGACAAAATGAGTTGATTGTGGTTCATTTCCATCATTAATTTCCTTATTTTTGGTATTATGGTGCGTTTTTCTAAAAATTTTTATTAATATCTGTTCTATCCCGTGATACCTTTTTTACATTTTTAATATAATTTTTTATATTTCTAATAAAAAAACACCTAAAAACACATATTAAAAAACGATCCAAACATATCCTATAGCTGTTTTTATACATATATAAGTTACGGTCACTGAAGATCGAATGAGATTTTTTCGTATAATTGTGAGTTGTGGCAACAAGGTTTTCTTTTTCCTAAAAAAAAGAAAGAGAAAAAAATCGGTAATGAAGTTAGTTTGTAGGCACATATATGAAATTATTGGTTCCAGATCGAATCCCAACCGCTCATTTAAAACATTATTATATTGTCAATAAATGCCGCAAATTCTCAACCGATCTCCAGGGGCAAAACCAGTGACCCTTTGAAATTTCTATTATGAAAAGAAAGAAAAATATGACCAACCTTCTGGCCCAAGGCATTGGCACTTCAAACTTCAAAGAACCTAGATCCCACAATTGTTGATATAATACTGGTTTGAGTTTCATTATCAAATTAATTCAAACCAAAAGAAAAGAAGATAAGAAAGGATAAAGTTCTTTTTATGATATTACACATTTGGTGTCTGAAATCACTGTCCCGACTAATCTGAATTTGATCAAGTCAATTCGATTTTATATGCACTGATTTATGGATTGTGGTAGGGATTGAATTAACATATGCATTCACGGTTTCCTATCAACAATTGCACGTCCCAAAAAAAGAAAGGAAAAATAAGAAAAGAAACGCAAAGAATAACCGCGGATCACCAAACAAAAAAGGGTGCATGTGGAGTTTTACTTTCTAGTTAATATTAATTACAACTCCAGATGTTACTTCAGTGCGTTTTAATAATCTTATCTTTGATAAAAAAATTTAAAAAAAAAACAACTTGGGAAAAAGACTAAAACGAATGACTTGGGAGTAATACTTTTTACTTTCAGGGCTTCATTATAACAAGATAATCTTTGAACCTAAGAGCTAAGTGTGCTGTCATTATTTGAAGAAACAGTACAAAATGATCTTGAGTACGTAAATGGACAATTCTCTAATAATGTTGAAACATATATAGAGTATAAGAGAGAAGGAGGAAAAAAAAATACAATAAGATGTGGTTGCTTTGATGGAGACTCATTTGTGGAAATTGTTGTGAAAGGGAATTAATTAATCTTGCAACGGCCGGAAATTGATGGTTGAGAAATCCATTGTAAAGCTTTGCTGCATTTCTCATGCCACTTAACATTGTAAGGAGTTTATCAGAGTTTCTCAAAATAATAATAATAATTATTATTATGAATCAATCAAAAGCGCGTATTTGGTCCAAATGGTAAACATATTAAATCTGTTAAATCGTGCCCCAGATTTGATGAACATGCAATAGTGATTAAATATTTATTCAGGAAATTTTGTCTCTCAAAAATGAAGGTACTTAACTCAAATCCAAAATAGTAGCGCATAAGATGAAAAAACAACATAATTAATCAAAACATCACATTTTGTTCCTCTCCTTAAGTCTTTATTGATCGTATTCGATGCTTTACTATGTATCAACGTTCCTCATTTGCGAAAGATGCAGTTTGGTTTCAAAGAAAGCATGAACCGAAATATTTTCGTCCTATATTTTGGGTGGTGTGAGTGCCGCCCTTTATTCGTTTACAGTACAAATGAAAATCCTCGTGCAATAATATTCTTTTTTTGCCAAGTTAGGATGACTGCAACAACATTGCAATGCAAAGATTAGGTAGAAGAGTTAACGTGGAAAATTGTAACCCGAAATTTAAATTTTCATCATCAACAATCATAAAGACAAATATAGATGAGCATAACCATATGGACGTTAGTCAATTAACAATTTTTTGAAGTTAATTGTTTTCCAGCTCAATAATATTAGTATACCTGTTACTAATTTGCTTGCACAAACCATAGTACACCTAGTCATTAATTTTATTATATCTTTTAACCGGCAAAAAGAAGAACCACAAACAAACCATCATATAAATAGTGTTCATCAATACATTGGTTTTGCGCATAAAATATTTATATGATGGCATTAAGGTGGTGGAAGATTGAAATCTAAATTAGAGTCATTTAAAACAAAAGAAAGTTCGTCGACCTGCCCATCGACTGAGGAATAAAGTTGACGTCTATTTTCCTTTATTTAGTATTTTCCATTTCGAGTCCCAAATAGGTTTTGGTAAACATTTTCTGTTAGTATTTTTCGGTCATATCTCATTATATCCGACCTATAGGAGTATTAAATAATTGTGGCATCTAGTGTATTTCTGAATTTAGACAATTCTAGTTTTAGGAAACTTCTTGTCTATTTGCAAGTTGTAACTTAGAGAGAGCATTATGACTTTTTTGTATCATATTTTAGTTGGCACAAAATATGTTAAAATATATTATTAAGTTGATTATTAGTTGTGAAAAAAACATCATGTACTCGATTAATGCTTGATTGTGAAATAGAATCTAAAAAAAGGATGATACAAAGAATAACTAACAGTAAAAAATAAGTTTTCAAAAATACAGGGTAAATTAAGTGGTATTAGTATCATTTATAACTTAAATTTTCTTGAGTTTGAATATAAAAAGAATATTTTACTTAGATGTTTCTCGTAATTTTACCCGTGAGATTTTAGTATTTTTTTTAATCAAATTGACTGAGTGGTTGAGTGATTTAGTTTGAATATAAGAAGAATGTCTTATTTGTTTTCTTTTTCCTCGTAATTTTAGCCGTGAAAATTTTAACATTTTTTTTAATGAGTTCACTTTAGAGTGATTAAGTTTGAATGTAATAAAAAATGTTCTGTTTGATTTTTTTTGTAATTTTAACCCATAAAGTTTCAACAATTTTTCTTTACTGTGAACGGCGTCTTTTTTGGCAATAAAATATTGAATTAGAGTATATATATATTATATTATATTATATTATATTATATTGTTGAAGAGTTTTTTTTTTTAATCCAAAGGATGTAGTTTTGACTTAATGTATGTTGGAGGAAAATTTTGTAATCACAATGCGACACCTTAACATTTTGTCTCTTGTACTTCTTTTTTAATACGATATATTGATTAATTTATTTTTCATGTCAATGTGTCAAGTGACTATAGAAATAGCAAAGCAGTTGGAAGAACAAAGATATGCACAATAGTGCACGCTGGCCATCATCAAAACAAGAATTGTAAATTGTTTAAGACCTATACAGATGCCAATGAAAGATATCAGGAAAATGTTTTGAAAGGGCAATTATTCACCCTTGGATTCATCATAATGTTCTTCATGTGGGCCATGTTTGGCATCAATCAAGAGTTGTTTCAAGACTGTAATAATCTTTCCCCTCTGCATGGATAATTTGCAAGTCTGCTGCAGCTTGATCACGGGAAGGGTGCATGGTTTCAACCTTGTGGTGCAGGTCCTCCAGTAGAGCCAATTCAGCAGCAGCTTGGTCGGACAGCGATAGCGATTCTAGTGCTTGGCTGCAATTTGGTCTTTGACATCCTGCAGATCCTTCTCCAACTTCTTTTGTTTGACAGTCAATATGACAATGACTTTTTCTACTCTTTCCATCTGTTGGGCATATCCTTGAACCTGTTGAAAGCTGTTAGTTATGTTAGCCTCAAGTAAACGAAAATCTTTTCGGATTTAGAGCTGTTGACAAAGGTTTTCTGTAGATCATTAAAATCTGCCAAGAAGCCTTGCAAGCAGTCTCCAATGGTGGTTGACACATTTCCTTTAAGTAATGTCCCCAAATATTTCTTGATTTGAAAAGCCTGAGAGGTGAAAATCATGCCGGCAGGTATTGTGATGATCTTTTTGGACAATTCAACTTCTGATTCCCCAGCAACAATAGGGCTAGCAGTGAGTTGAAGGCAAGAGATTTTAGGAAAACCATTCTTGCCCTCAATGCAGCTGATGTTAAGAGATTTAAAGACGGAGAGCCAGTCTGGTTGGTGGAAACCGATGGAGTATGAGTTGGAGTCGATTATACAGGAGTTGGATGAACAGGAGCTTGCTGGGGAGCGACAACATTGAGATCTCTGTGATTTTCTTTTCCTGACCAAAGGTTCTTCTTTTTCTTCCTCTTTATCTTTATAATCTTGCAGGAGCATAACATCATCATTTGAGTGATTGCTGGTCTGTTAAGACTGCCATAGTAGGGAATGGTTATGGATTACTTAATGTTCAATCCGTTGAGAGGAATATGATGGATTAAGTCAGAGACTTACATGATGTTGTTCGATGGCTGCATACTTTATGTCAGAGCCTGACAGATAGCTAAGTGTCTGGTACCTTAAGAACGGCCTGGAGGAGGAGATGACCGAGTATGCCAAAAAGCTCTTTCTTTGACTACATAAAGTAGGAACGACAAACAGAAAAAAAAAACAAAAACAAAAACAAAAAACAAAACCAGTGATTTGCACAGAAACAAGGAAGGAAGAGGAATCGTGCATCATCAATACAGGGAGCCAAACTTCTTGCAGAAATTTTGATGGCAGGACCTATGAAAATCAGTTGAGCTGACATCGGTTAGTTGGGATAAGCGAAACTCTCTCTTCTCTAAGCGTGACTCAAACCCTAGCGGCCGCTTTCTTGTTTCCGGCCATCATGGCCGGAAAATCTCCACCGGCGCCCCCCACTGGGATGTCAAGAACATTTGGAAGCCTTTTCCTAAAACAAAATCATCAAAACTCTCAGGATTTGATCCCCACCGGATCAAATCCGCCTCTAGAACACAAAAAAATTCAATACTTTAATGGCATCCCGGAACTGGAATACGAAGAAGATGAATTTGAGATGCTTATTGCTCTTCATCTGATGACTCTTGTGGAAAAGTTTTCTTACGGGAGGCCGAAGATGGAAGATGTGAGGGCTGATTTCAAGAAGATTGGCTTTAAGGGGTCTTTTGATCTAGGGCTCATGAACTCACGGCATGTACGGATCCGGTTTGAGCTTGAAGAGGATTATCAAAGATGTTGGATTGAATCAATTTGGGATATTGGTGGATTTTCTATGAGGATGCTTAAGTGGACGCCAGGCTTTAAGTTCGAAGAAGACCCCCTGATCGTTCTAATCTGGGTGTCGATGCAGGAATTGCCATTAGAATGGACACATCCGTCCGTTTTGTTCTCGATGGCCAGTGCTATAGGGAAGCCTCTCCAAGTAGATGCCCCCACGTTGAATCTCACCAGACCCTCTATAGCTCGTTTTTGTGTAGAGGTGGATTTAACAAAGGAATTGCCGAAATCTATCCGTATTGGGAAGAAAGGGAAAAAGCAAGAGTTTTTCTTTACTTATGAATATATCCTGTCTTTCTGTCGGAATTGCAACAAAATTGGGCATAAGAATACGGATTGCAGGAAGAAGACCACTTCATCAGGTCCCGTTCAATTGGATAGCTCACAGAAAAAGCTCGAAAAGCAGCAAGGTGGAAAGGTGATTAAGGAGAATAAGGGTAAAGCAGCTCTGAAAGATCCTGCACAAAGTAAAGGGAAAACAAAACAGATTAAGTTTATTCTTCCTAAGCCAACTCCGAAGAGGTAGCCGGGGTTCAAAATGTCAGCAGAAACAGGTGATAAAAAAGCATCCTCATCAGGTCTTACCACAAAGGAGAAGGAAAGTGTTCTGATTAATGTTGATGGGGCTAATTCCTCCAAGGAGTTGCCGGCTGTTCGTATAGATAAGGGCACCCCAAATCCAAATAAAGAATTGTTGATTGCTGCAGATGCTCTTACCAGAGAGCAAGATGAACAGAAGAATGAGGAAAAGGATCAGGCAAACATGACTCAAATGTTGGAAACATTAGAATCGGTTGCGCAAGAGGATCAGCTCGCTGTTTCTTCACAGCGTGCTGTCAGCGATGCCTCTGCAAATTTGAGTAACGATGGTACTACTATTATACTTCAGGAATCATCTTATGGGAATCATGTTACTTGTGCTAAAGCTGATGATAAGGAAGATGAAGCTGAAGAAATTTTCTCTGATTTTGCCCCAGCCTCGGTAATGAATACATCTCAAGGCCGAGAAAAACTATTTCTAACTGAAGAAGGGATTATTGATCTCAATTCTTCTGAACTTGAAGCATCTACTAAGTAGTTGAATCGATGGTCAGATGGTGAAACTGGTGAGGCACGATTTGATGATGGTTTTGTTACGGTTACTCGAAGAAGGGGTCGGAAAACGAAGGCCGAAAGGCTTAAACTATAAGAGGGTCTTCTGCCAAGACATTCTTCTCGGTTCTTGTAATCATATATCATCAATTTTTTTAATGATTAGTACCATTATTTTGAATGTTCGAGGGATTCGTAAAGAGGCCTCTCAAAGACGTTTAAAAGCTTTAATTAAGATGCATTCTGTGAAGTTTCTAGTTCTTCTAGAGCCGATGGTTAATGTATCTGATGTTGCTGAAATAAGAGGTTCCTTGGTTATGATTATGCTGCTGCATCTAATTCTGGCAAAATTTGGTTCTTTGGTAGCCGGGAATTTTCTTATAATGTTATTGGTAATATGGATCAATGTCTTCATTTGAAAATTGAGCAGGTAGCATCAAGTTTGGGTTTCTTCTTCAGTGCTATTTATGCGAAGTCAACAAGACAAGGGAGGCGTGAGTTATGGTTGGAATTGGTGTCTTTTCATCAGACTCATGCTAATGCTCCATGGATGGTTGGTGGCGACTTCAATGTGATTAGATCATTAGCAGAATATTCTGGTGTTTCGGTGCAGGATCATGAGGCCATTGATGCTTTTAATGATTGTGTGGAAGCATGTGAGTTATCGGAGCTAACTACTTCTGGGGACGACTTCACTTGGGGTGGAACGAGATCTACTGGCTGGGTTTGTAAAAAGTTGGACAGAGTTTTGTTTTCCCCAAACTGGCTGAACCAATATCCAGTCTCTATGATTGAGAATCTGAGTAAAACTACATCTGATCATTGCCCAATGTTGTTGCAATTTGATTCAAATAAGGAAGACCTTCCGAAATGCTTTAGATTTCAGAAGATGTGGCTGCGCAGGTCTGAGTTTTTAGAGATTGTAGCTGAGAATTGGAATCTGCCGATGGAAGCTCATGGCATGTTGCGCTTTTCACTGAAACTTCGACGCCTAAAATGTATGTTAAAGGAGTGGAACAAAATAGCTTTTGGTAATGTATTTCAAAATCTGAAAAATGCAGATGATCAGGTTCACGAGCTGGAAATTAAGTATGATGCTTCTGCAGCTGAGGAAGACCGTGTTGCTTTGAGTATTTCTCGCGCTCATTTGCTGCAAAAACTGAAAGAGAATGATGATTTTTGGTCCCAAAAAATGCGTATGAAATGGCTAAAAGATGGTGATGCGAATACTTCATTTTTTCACGCATCACTGAGAGAGAAAAAAGCGCGCATGGGGCTCTATAAAATTCAATCTGAGGATGGCACTTGGCATCGAGATGGGGCAGTATTGAGGCGCTAGCTGTTTCTTATTATAGCTCATTGTTGACGGAGGAAAATGAAGAAGATGTAGTCAAGAGAAATTCCTACAACATATCCCTAGTATTTTGAATGATGATGATCATGCTGTCCTTCTAAAAAGTTTGTCTTTGGACGAGCTCAAGGAGGCTGTTGATGGGATGGATGAGGATAGTGCTCCGGGGCCGGATGGTTTTGGTGGAGTTTTTTTATAGGAAATGTTGGGATATAATTTCTGGAGATTTGTTGAACGCATGTGAGGAGTTTCTTCTTGGTGTCCCAATGCCAAAAGTTATTAGTAGCACCTTTATCACTTTAATCCCGAAGAAAGCTTCTACTACAACCTTCTCCGATATGAGGCCAATTAGTTTGTGTAACTTTGTTAACGAAGTTTTTACAAAAATTCTTACTGAAAGGTTGAAGCTGGTGTTACCCAAGATGATCTCGAAGGAACAGTCGGTTTTTTTGGCAGGCCGGGATATTACGGACAATGGGTTACTAGCTCAAGATCTCTGTCAATTTGTTAATCACAAGGTGGGTGGGAATAATGTCATTTTAAAGGTGGACATGATGAAGGCTTTTGATAGAGTCTCCTGGAGCTTCATGAAGGAGGTAATGAATCGTTTTGGTTTTCCAATGCAGTTTATAAGCTTAGTTCTATCTAATCCCTCAAGGAGTTGGTTTTCTGTTCTAAATAATGGTAGCCCTGTTGGTTTCTTCAAATCCACAAGAGGAATAAAGAAAGGGGATTCACTATCTCCTTATCTCTTCATTCTTGTGTCAGAAGCCATGTCTAGACGGTTGAAGTTTTTAATGGACAGACAAAAAATAGCTTGTTATGGTTTGCCTGCAGGAACATTGTCTACATCTCATTTATCTTTTGCTGATGATCTTGTGATTTTTACAAGGGGAGCTAAAAAGTCTCTAGAGGAGCTGAACAACTTTTTTGTTGAATATTAGCAAGCATCGGGACAAAAATTAATTGACAAAAAGTGTGTTCATTGTTGATGATAAATGCAGCGCATATAGAAGTCATTTGATCCAAGGTGTCCTTGGTATGCAGAAAGGATCCTTTACACTTATCTATTTGGGAACCGTTTATACAAAGGGCGGAAGAGGATTGAAACTTTTCAGTTTGTACTTGATGCTCTTGATAAACGATTATCTAGTTGGAAAAACAAATTGTTGAGTCCGGGTGGTCGCATTTTGCTCATCAGGCAAGTGCTATTGGCTATTCCTTTGCATGTTTTTGCAGCCATTGAACCTCCAAAGGGAATCATTGATGCTCTTGATCGAAGGTGTCAGAATTTTTTGTGGCAAGGGGTGGATGATCAAGCTAAAAGGCATTGGAGATCATGGGATGCTTTGTCTTTTCCAACATGTGAAAATGGTCTTGGGTTGCGAAAGTTAGGAGACATTCTGAAATCTTTCTCTCTTAAGATGTGGTGGAAGATAAAGGTGAATCAGGGATTATGGGCAAAGTTTGTAGGGACGTTATCCCAAACTGCTAGAGGCAAGACGTCTTGGCAACGCATTGCTAAAATCAATTCAGAGGCGGTCTCACATGCTATGGTGTTGGTTAAAGGAGGGGATCGCAGCTTCTGGTTTGATGAGTGGTCTGACTTTGGAATAATTTGGGATTCTGATGTGGGAAGTCCCGCCAGTCTAGATTCGACTATATATGATTTCTTTGCGCAAAAGGATCATTTCTTACCAATCATCCAGCCTTTTATCTCAGTGGAGGCACTGGCTTTTTTGCATTTTCAGAAGGTAAGGACATTTCGTATGGAAGCCAACATCATTTGGGGTTTTCACTGTTAAATCTGCCTTTGAGGTAATTCGGCAACGGAAAGAGGTAAGTATCATTCATAAAAATTTTTGGAATAAATTTTTACCTCTTCGTATTTCTTTCTTCATGTGGAAGTTATGCAATTCTTTGTTGCCTTTTCCTGCGCTTCTTGCGCGCATTGGGATTAGAGTTCTGCCCTCTATGTGTATGCGTTGCAAGAGGACTGATGACAGTTTGACTCATTTCTTTCTAGATTGTCTGGAAACTAAGAGGGTTTGGCATTATTTGTTGGGAGTTCTCGGGTAGTGTTGCCGGCTGGTGATTTAAAGCAAGTGCTTCTTTCTCTGTGAAACGGAAGCAGTACTAAGACGGCAATGTCTTGTGTACGAATGGTTCTTCCATCTTATCTTTTGTGGGAGCTTTGGAAGGTTAGGAACAAGTTCTTGTTTGAGGATGTAGTGATATCTAATTTTGCAATTATAAGGGCTGTTATGTTGGATATTGAGAATATGCTATTTATTCATAAGCCACCTTCGAAAGACGTTGAGGAGCAGAATTTTTTGGCCTCTCTCTTCAATCTAAAATTGGGAAGAGTACAAAAAAGTGTAAAGGTGGTTAGATGGAAAAGTCCAACTCCGGCTTCATATTGTGTTAACTCTGATGGTTCATGTGTGAATCAAATTTCTGGCTATGGATTTATAATTCGTGGACATGGTGGGAATTTTGTTTATGCTGAGTCGGGCTACCTTGGTTTTGGAGATAGTTTCATGGCAGAAACTTATGGTTTGCATTTTGGAATTCGGCGTTGTGTTATATTGGGCCTTGAGCGGGTTGAGATTCAAACGGATAATTTAGCTTTGGCAATGATGCCGAAGAATGAAGGTCCTTATCCTTGGAAGTTCAAGCTTGCATTGGAGGAGATTTGGGGTATTCTGAGGTGTTGGAATTTTACTATAATTCATGTCTATCGTGAGACGAATGTTGTAGCAGACTCTTTGGCCGACTTGGCATCTTTTAGGCAGTCGGAGGTCTTTAGAACCTGCAGTGCTTTGCCTTCCAACACTAGAGGCTTACTTGTTCTTGATCAAAGATCCTTACCTTATCTGCGTATAAGGTAGCATGGCTTTTGTATCTTTGTAATAGTTTAGACAAAGAATTTTGTCCTGATTGTAATTGCCATAGGGTGAGTTTGTGCACTGCCCTTGGCTTGCCACTATTATATTAATAATAAATTAGGGAAGGATAAAACTAGGGAACTAAATAGTATATATGTCATCCCTTGGGTGTATTATACTATTTGACACTGGCTAGTTTAAAAATTTACCTCTTGGGTAGACCCCTTGAGTTTTTTGAGCTAGTTGGAACGTGAACGTTATCATGACCTCTCTATTTTCATTAAAAAAAGAATCAGTTGAGCTTTACTTTCTCCCGGACTTGCTCTGATTACAGTTTGGTAGGCTTAAGGCCACCAGTGTTGAAAAACAGGAATAAAGGTAGGAGCAGCAGTAAATGGTGTAATGGAGGCATCCTGAACCAACAGATTCATAAGGTTCATTCTGGCAATAATTACTTGAGCAGGGATGTAGAATCGGCCAAGTCTCCAATTGTTCCAGCACATGAATTCGAAATTGGGAACCCTCTGCACTAAGTCAAATCGTCGGGCCACCAGATTGGCCGGGTAAACTTCAGCAAAGGTTTCCATGGCTTTCTTCTTACCACTTGCTTCCTGTGGCCAAAAACTATAGTGAAGATCCCTTGTGGCCAATAGATACCCCTAGATAGCTCTTATACCAGTATTATTGGCATCATTCCAACAGCCGAATTTGGCCTCAGCTTCATACTCAATGCGAAAACAGGGATGA